TATATATATATATATATATATATATATATATACACAAAGGACTCTATGTGCCTCAAAATATTGAACGTCCCAAAATTCAATAAGACGGAGGACAGGATCGAAACCAATTTTTCTTCCTTGCAAAATTCAATAAGACGGAGGACCTCGGAAGTAACTCTTTTGCCCGAGGGAGTTGTTACACAGTATATGCTCCTACAGGAAAATGTTGCACGTACTCCAAAGAAAATTGGGTTTTAAGTTCCTAAACACTTATCTTACATTTGATTATCTGACGATTTGAACTGAACCGGTCGCTTACATACAGGGCGTATTAATTCTTGTCTTTGTCAAGGTTACCTCCCCAAAATTTTGGGATCTAAAAATAGTCCAAGTAGGGTTTTCTTGGGAACACCTTTGGGAATATTATTTACTTATGTAACATTTTAATAACAGATTTTATCAGTGAAAATCATTCTCTCCTACTCTAGTGGCCAAATTGATCCTCTCCTAGCCATGGGCTCTAAAACTTTCAGCAATATTTCACAGGCAGATCGTGAAAAACTACTTAGAATATTTGCAATGTTTTCCGAGTTGACCTCAACAAGCCCTCGGTGCTGAAGAAACATCCATTCTACTCTTCATTGGATATCAATCCACATTCCAATCTCATGGCAGCCAAGAGCTGCGGGGACGCATCTTTGACGCCCACAAAACCATTCCCTGACCTTCCCAATGCCTTGCCTCCATTTATACTTCGCTTACTGGTTTTGGATACGGTTCCTGAGTTCTGGTCTCCTAAACCCCACCCTCTATAGAGTATCACCTTGTTGGGCTCTTGGGAGACCAGCACTGCACCCGTTGCTTGCTGAAAAATAGTGACTTCAAAGCTTCAATATCCCTGATGGAATACAATGATATGATAAAACTAACCACAAATGAGACCACTTATCTGACACTGACCTCTAACTTGAAGACAACCTCCTGAACTGAAGTACCCTTGGCCCTACCTTTCACGTTCACTATAGCAAGTGGGTTCTTCTTGAAGTGTGTCTTGATTGCTTCTGCAACCCCAGTAACGATATTGTTCCTCCCTGATTACAACTCAAAGCATTCATCATGAATAGATCACATATTTCATGAAGCCAGTAATCTATTAAAAATCATGGTAATCTATTAAAAATCATGGGAATACATTTCAGCCAGGACTTTCTGATGTGATTCTAGGGAAGAAATTTGAATTTTTAGTTTTCCCAAAATTCTCAAAAAAAAATAATCTTGCTATATAATTTTTTCATTTCAAGAGTCAAAAACCTTAATTTTCTAGAAACTATTTTCACATGAAAAAATTCTCATGCGGTCAAGTGTGAGAATATTTTTACATCAAT